CCCCCCCCCCCTCCTTCCCATTACCCCCCTCCTTCCCCATCACCCCCCCCCCTCCTTCCCCATCACCCCCCCTCCTTCCCCATCACCCCCCTCCTTCCCTATCACCCCCCCTCCTTCCCATCACCCCCCTCCTTCCCATCACCCCCCCTCCTTCCCATCACCCCCCCCTCCTTCCCCATCACCCCCCCCCTCCTTCCCCATCACCCCCCCCTCCTTCCCCATCACCCCCCCTCCTTCCCCATCACCCCCCTCCTTCCCGATCACCCCCCTCCTTCCCCATCACCCCCCTCCTTCCCATCACCCCCCCTCCTTCCCATCACACCCCCCCTCCTTCCCATCACCCCCCTCCTTCCCATCACCCCCCCCTCCTTCCCATCACCCCCCCCTCCTTCCCATCACCCCCCCCTCCTTCCCATCACCCCCCCTCCTTCCCATTACCCCCCTCCTTCCCATCACCCCCCTCCTTCCCATCACCCCCCCTCCTTCCCATCACCCCCCCTCCTTCCCATCACCCCCCCTCCTTCCCATCACCCCCCCCTCCTTCCCATCCTTCCCCCCCCCCCCCCCTCCTTCCCATCACCCCCCCTCCTTCCCCATCACCCCCCTCCTTCCCCATCACCCCCCGCCTTCCCCATCACCCCCCTCCTTCCCTATCACCCCCCCCTCCTTCCCATCACCCCCCTCCTTCCCATCACCCCCCCCTCCTTCCCATCACCCCCCCCCTCCTTCCCCATCACCCCCCCCCCCTCCTTCCCCATCACCCCCCCTCCTTCCCCATCACCCCCCCTCCTTCCCATCACCCCCCCTCCTTCCCATCACCCCCCCTCCTTCCCATCACCCCCCCCCTCCTTCCCATCACCCCCCTCCTTCCCATCACCCCCCTCCTTCCCATCACCCCCCCTCCTTCCCATCACCCCCCCCCCCCCTCCTTCCCATCACCCCCCCCCTCCTTCCCATCACCCCCCCCCCCCTCCTTCCCATCACCCCCCCCTCCTTCCCATCACCCCCCCCCTTCTTCCCATCCCCCCCCCCCCCTCCTTCCCATCACCCCCCCCTCTCCTTCCCATCACCCCCCCTCCTTCCCATCACCCCTCTCCTCCCCTCCCCGCACAGTCGCCAGCACGAACCAAAGAAAGAGAATGGTAGTCTTCTCTTGGAGTGAACGGTTGGTGCTCAATAAAGCCCTCAGCGCCTCTGCTTCTCTACTTTGTCAACCCTCAACCCTGTCATACTGGGCTAATCAAGTTCTCCAGCCTTCCTGCTCCTCCCTCCCCCGACCGTCAACTCCCTCCACCGACCAACACGACCAAGCGCGGTGGCAAACAAGGAGAGAGAGAGAGAGAGAGAGAGAGAGAGAGAGAGAGAGAGAGAGAGAGAGAGAGAGAGAGAGAGATAAAGTGTTAAGGCAGGTAGGCCTGACGGAAAGCAAACGAAAGAGCAGGATGGCAACCTTGCAGGCAGGGACACAGAAAGACAAAGGGTGAGAGAGAGAGGGAGGGAGAGAGAGAGAGAGAGAGAGAGAGAGAGAGAGAGAGAGAGAGAGAGAGGAGGAGGGGAAGGGTAGAGCCTGCAGGCAGGCAGGCAGGCAGGCATAGAGGGCAATAACAACGCCCCACCATCTATGCAAATGTATACTTGCTCGACCCAAAGTATTCTTCATCTCTCCTGTTTTTTTCTAATGCTTTTTTTGCCATAGCCTATTTTGAATATCCAATACCTGACCATCACTTTTTCTCTCGGTTCATTAGCATACTGCTGTCTGGGAAGCTGTGTGTGTGTGTGTGTGTGTGTGTGTGTGTGTGTGTGTGTGTGTGTGTGTGTGTGTGTGTGTGTGTGTGTGTGTGTGTGGAAACCAGCCGTGGGAGCACTTTTTTACATTTCCTCACATATATATTTTTTAAGAGTTCATTTAAGCAAGCTAAGCAGATGAACGTTGGAAGAGAGCGTGAGAGAGCGAGCGAGAGAGAGAGAGAGAGAGAGAGATGATCTGGTAATAGACTAAGGAAGTATTCACATCTGGTATACACACACTTACCCATAACACAACCATTAGGCTCACCAGCCGCGAGGGTCACCATTCACAGCTGCCTGGTCCAACAGCTTGCAGTCACGATGAACCAACCCTTTAGCGCGAAGTCCGCCCACATCTGTGGCTTCTTGACCAGTGTTGGCGTGAACACTGGTCGCCTTGATGTGATCGTTGTGCTGGAAACATTTATCGTCAGCGTGACTCTCTCTTGTTTGTTTTTGAGAACTTTGCTGAGGTTGTGGGCTGTGCCTGAGTCGTGACACGCAGGGAGATGAGTTGAAGCTTGCTTCAATAATCTGTTCACGTGCTGCTTATTGATGTCATTCTTGTTCGCGAGAAGAGACTTTTCAAAATGTTCATTAATCCCATGACCTCACTGCTGGCGTGCGCAACATACCAGTGCCAGAGTGCTTTACTGTAAACATCTTGACAGACAATCTTGACTCCCTACCAATGCAACATAATTTCAAACAAATTATAAATATGGAAACTTGAACTAGAATCTCGTACAGAAGAATGTTGATGAGAACTGTGCAGTTCTTGACTGCACAAGCTGGGACCGTCTCCACCAGCAAGCAGGAACAGGCTGACCATTTTGTGGCCAAGACACAAAATGGTCAGCCTGTGAAAATACTTGACCAAGCCTGACCTAGACCAAAATGGTCAGGTCAGACAGGTTCTTCTGTCTGACCCAGAAAGAGAACTTGCACAACATTATCTAAGCATTGATTCAAAGTTATCAGCAGTGGTTGTCAAGAATTGTAAGGTGTTGAATTACACCTTAAATCACTCGACGAAGGTTAAGCAAGAGGACCTGATAACGTGTCCCCGTTCCTGAAAATTCGTTCTGCTGTTGTTCTTTAGTTGAGCCTAAATGGCAACAATCACAAGATGAACGGTATTGTTGAAGTAAATATTACAGGTGCCTCTGAACTGGACTTCCAGCAATGGTTCAAGTGCTTGGTATCTCGGGGCTTATTTTTCAGCTAATAAACGACAACTTTGAAGAACGAACTCTAAACGGTAGTCCTCAAGGGGGAGCCATTCAACTTGGACCAGCATACGACAGGGTAGTGTGCGTGGCCTCTTGTTGTGGAATGTCTACTGCTACGATCTTATTCCTATATTTTATTCCAACTCCTTCCTTTATTCCTTAAATTCAGGTTTACGCTGTTGAGTGAACTTTAACCTTTAAATATACATGAGAGGAAATGCTAACTGCTACAAATTGGTCATTAATCACAAAGAAATATTAACCTGGAGAAAGTGTTTTCAGGTTGCATTTGCAACAGTACAGCACAGGTGATAATGAAAACTAGACAGCATTATATTACAACTAGGAGAGATGTACAGATGGATTTCAGTACTCAGTTATGCAGTTGACGTCTTGAGGATGAAATGTATCACTTCCGTGACCATGAAGAGCCACGTGATGAAGGAACATGGTTCTTGCAAGCAGGCAGCCAAGATGCTTACAGTCCGAGAGTGCATTTCGCACCTCGACAGCAGTGGCTGTAAAACCTGATATAAAGCAAACGTTCCTTGCCATATTGAGAGCGCACCGCTCTCATGGACGACCTACACGACCTACTCCACCCTATCCACCAAATTTTGGACACGCCAGGGAACTTTGCGAGAAGACTCATCACAAGTCTTGACCTTTTGTGGTTGAAATGGACAGTACATCCGTGCTTGTAATATTGTGGAGATGTCGACGCCCGCAACACCAGGCGCTCAGTCCTCAACGGTCGCAACTCCATTAATGAAGGTTCTGATACACAGTGTGAGCTCCAACTTCAGCCTCTATCTTTCATGTTCTTAGTTTACCATTAACGTTTACTCTTATTATTATTATTATTATTATTATTATATATATATATATATATATATATATATATATATATATATATATATATAAATATATGTATATATATATAAATATATGTATATATATATAAATATATATATATATATATATATATATATATATATATATATATATATATATATATATAAATATATGTATAAATATATGTATATATATATAAATATATATATATATATATATATATATATATATATATAAATATATATATATATATATATATATATATATATATATATATAAATATATATATATATATAAATATATATATATATATAAATATATATATATATATATATATATATATATATATATATATATATATATATATATATATATATATATATATAAAGATTGTTAAATTTAGAAGTTTCTAGAGTCAGGCCTTGTACGAGCTAATGTAGGGTAAAAAAGTCTTAGCTTCCACTCAATGAATATCAGTGCTATCTAAATAAACCTTAGACTTAGCTTCAGGTAATGTAGTGTCAAAACTCTAAGCTTCTACTTAAGGAGCATCAGTATCATCTAAATATACCCTAGACTCAGCTTTAAAAATGTAAAATTGCGAGAAAGAGAAACTGGAGGGACAGATTCCAGGCCCAGACGGGACGACAACGGACTGGGACTGGAGCGACTGGGACTGGAGCGACTGGCACTGGAGCGACTGGCACTGGAGCGACTGGCACTGGAGCGACTGGGACGGAGGGAGAGGTCGGAGTATCTACATGTACAAAGTGGTGTGTCTGACCCATTATGTAGGTGGTGGGGAGACACACCAAAATAACACACCAACCCACACTTTGTTAGTTTGAGCTTTGAGAACAACAGCTCAAACAACAGTTTGAGCTGTTGTTCAGGCATTTCAGAACGAGCTGTGATGATCTATAGGAAGGAGAGAGGAAAGGAGAAAAGGATTTTGATATAGGCAAAGGATGAAGAGAAGGCAGGATAAGCAGCCATTGGAGGATGGACAGAAAAGTGATAGAGAGAGAAGGGACGGGGGATAGAAAGGGCGAGTGAGAGCAAAGAAAGGGGACGCCTCGCTGCCACCATGGTGACACACCCGACCTTATGTGAGAGATGAACTCAATAGCTCGTATTCTCAAGTGTTTTATTGAAAGAGGGTTTTATATTGTGATGGCCAGGGCGCTGTGGTGATGGCCGGGGCGCTGTGGTGATGTCCGGGGCGCTGTGGTGATGGCCGGGGCGCTGTGGTGATGGCCGGGGCGCCGTGGTGATGGCCAGGGCGCTGTGGTGACGGCCGGGGCGCTGTGGTGATGGCCGGGGCGCCGTGGTGATGGCCAGGGCGCTGTGGTGATGGCCGGGGCGCTGTGGTGATGGCCGGGGCGCCGTGGTGATGGCCAGGGCGCTGTGGTGATGGCCGGGGCGCTGTGGTGATGGCCGGGGCGCCGTGGTGATGGCCGGGGCGCTGTGGTGATGGCCGGGGCGCTGTGGTGATGGCCGGGGCGCTGTGGTGACGGCCGGGCGCTGTGGTGATGGCCAGGGCGCTGTGATGATGGCCAGGGCGCTGTGGTGATGGCCGGGGCGCTGTGGTGATGGCCGGGGCGCTGTGGTGATGGCCAGGGCGCTGTGGTGATGGCCGGGGCGCTGTGGTGATGGCCGGGGCGCCGTGGTGATGGCCAGGCCGCTTACCGTAGTTTCATTCACACCAGGAGAGGGAAGCTCCACACCAGGGGCGAAGCTCCACATGATGGGGACGTCTTGGTATTGGGTGATTCACTACTTACGTGTTTGTATTGTAATTGAGTCATAATACCTATCCTGTCCGGTGTTGCCAGACTCTGCTTCCCTTGTCTGCGCTCGGGATGTCCTGTTGCTGCTTCTGTTATTGATACTGTTACTGTTGCTGCTGCTGCTGTTACTGCTGCTGCTGCTGTTGGTCTTATTGATGATGTAGCTGTTATTGATGCTACTGCTGTTGTCCCTATTAATGATGTTGCTGTTATTGATGCTACTGCTGTTGTCCCTATTACTGATGTTGCTGTTATTGATGCTACTGCTGTTGTCCCTATTACTGATGTTGCTGTTATTTAGATGTGCTGCTACTTGTTGCTGCTCTTGATGGTGGTATTAAAGATGATGCTGTTGTTCAGGACATGGGAGAGGGAGAGAGGGAAGGAGAGAGAGGAAGAGGGAGAGGGAGGGAGGTATGGAAGGAGGGAGATAGGAAGGGAAAGGGAGAGGGAGAAGCAGTGAGTGAGTGAGTGAGTGAGTGAGTGAGTGAGTGAGTGAGTGAGTGAGTGAGTGAGTGAGTGAGTGAGTGAGTGATTGAGTGAGTATGGTGTTTCAGGAATTTTGCCTTAGGCATAAAGAACGGTGAGGAAGGGATGATGGAGGTATTGGTAGGGGCGGTGGATGCCATCCTTATTGATTCAACTCTTTAATTTCAAGCCAAAGCAACTTATTGACAAATTGTCATACCCCTTCACGTTGCATGGTGTACTCACCTAGTTGTACTCACCTAGTTGTGCTTGCGGGGGTTGAGCTCTGGCACTTTGGTCCTGTCTGTCAACTGTCAATCAACTGGTGTTCAGATTCCTGAGCCTACTGGGCTCTATTATATCTACATTTGAAACTGTGTATGGAGTCAGCCTCCACCACATCACTGACATGCATTTCATTTGTTAACTACTCTGACCCTGAAAAAGTTCTTTCTAATGTCTCTGTGGCTAATTTAGTTAGTAAGTTTTCACCTGTGTCTCCTTGTTCGTGTTCCACCCATGCTAAAGAGTTTGTGTTTGTCAACCCTGTCAATTCCCCTGAAAATTTTGTAGGTGGTTATCATGGCATCCCTTATTCTTATGTTTTCTAGGGACGTGAGGTTCAGTTCCCTTTGCCTTTCCTCGTAGCTCATACCTCTCAGTTCCGGGACGAACCTGGTGGCCTACCTCCACCAGAGGTATGTGTGTCTGTCTCCAAGTCTGCTTGCAAAAGGGATTCCGATTAGCCATTGCTTACTTTTTTTTGTCTTCAGAGATAGGGGTTGCATACCCGGAACCTCATATTCTGCTAATATTTAGGTTCCTTGAGGTCCCTTAATCATCGTTACTTTGCATTTGGCTGCGTTTAAGACTCGTAGCCATTTCTCAGACCATCACTGGAGTGTGTCAAGTTCCTTTTTCAGGATAGCAAAGCCCCCCCCCCCCGCTTCCTCTCTGTGTTGCTTCTTCTCATTAGCTTTGAATCATCAGCAAAGGAGACAAATTTCCATTCGTCGTGATATCCCTGTCACTGTTGTCGTGATATCCCTGTCACTGTTGTCGTGATATCCCTGTCACTGTTGTCGTGATATCCCTGTCACTGTTGTCGTGATATCCCTGTCACTGTTATCGTGATATCCCAGTCTCTGTCGTCGTGATATCCCTGTCACTGTTGTCGTGATATCCCAGTCTCTGTCGTCGTGATATCCCTGTCACTGTCGTCGTGATATCCCTGTCACTGTCGTCGTGATATCCCTGTCACTGTCGTCGTGATATCCCTGTCACTGTCGTCGTGATATCCCTGTCACTGTTGTCGTGATATCCCAGTCTCTGTCGTCGTGATATCCCTGTCACTGTCGTCGTGATATCCCTGTCACTGTCGTCGTGATATCCCTGTCACTGTCGTCGTGATATCCCAGTCACTGTGTTCGTGATATCCCAGTCACTGTTGTCGTGATATCCCAGTCACTGTTGTCGTGATATCCCAGTCACTGTTGTCGTGATATCCCAGTCACTGTTGTCGTGATATCCCAGTCACTGTTGTCGTGATATCCCAGTCACTGTTGTCGTGATATCCCAGTCACTGTTGTCGTGATATCCCAGTCACTGTTGTCGTGATGTCCCAGTCACTGTTGTCGTGATGTCCCAGTCACTGTTGTCGTGATACCCCAGTCTCTGTCGTCGTGATATCCCAGTCACTGTCGTCGTGATATCCCAGTCACTGTAGTCGTGATGTCACTGTCACTGTCGTCGTGATGTCACTGTCACTGTCGTCGAGATGTCAAGCGACAAGGTCAGGTATGAAGGTCATGCAACAGAAGTGACATATTATACCTCAGGTGTTACACCTACCTCTATCCAACATCCCTAACCCCCCATTCCTCCCCCTCCCTCCCCCCCCCTTCTCCCCAAACGACCTCTGACATCCATGCTTCGACCCCATATAACCAGTCATAAAATTTTGACCAACAACTTTATAAACACAGAGAGAGAGAGAGAGAGAGAGAGAGGACGACTAGAGTAAGGCGAGGAGGATAGAGGATGGGAAATGGCTGGGGACTCGTTGCGAATAGATGGTGGCAGGATAGAGAGGGGGGAGTGGGGGTTTGGGGAGGAGGGGAGCTTCGACACACCTTGAGTGGCACGTAATCTTCAGACCGAAATGAAGGCGTCCGGGGCAGGAGGGTGCTAAGCCACGGGCGGGGCGGAGACGTTGCTAAGTCGCCGACAGATAATCCCGAGTTAAGTTACTTCCTCGAATATAAGTTCTTTCCTCTCTGGCCGTCGAGGCAAAGACAACTTGCCAAATCTCTCTTTGTTTTCAGATTATTCTAAAAAAAATTCAGAATATCTATTTTCCTCAAAGTTGACCCGTGACACGATCACTGCAACAGGTCGAGTATTGCTCTACAGTAATTCATAACATCATCACTTTACAGTTTAGTGAATACAATCGCGAATACAAGCACCATACAATACGTCCTCGGTCTAACTACGCTACACCACATTACACATAAGCGCTGAAATCTGTTTAGTCGACTTTCAGGCAGCGATCTTAGCCAACAACATTCTAAAACCATATAATACCTTTCACATGAATTTGGATTCTACCCCCTGAGATTCCAATTAACGGATTGGATCCCCGACTGGAAGATCCAAGCGCCCGCTTTGCCTGCCTTATAGTTTGAGCCTTACGAGCATCTCAGGGCCGCCTCTATGCTGCCCCGACACCTTAAGATGGGTTCCGGAAAGCAATCCAGGCTAAAGACGGATAGCAGTAATCGTGAAGCATCTCCCGCGGAGGTACTCAATTCTCGGCTCTCACTTCAGCCTCCCCAAGGTACAGGTAACATTTGGAGTAATAACGACTGGCCAATCAGAGGAAAATGTGGGGAGAGGGTAGTGACGAGTGGCCAATCACGGGAGAAGGTGGGGAGAGGGTAGTGACGAGTGGCCAATCACAGGAGAAGGTGAGGTGAGGGTAGTGACGAGTGGCCAATCACGGGAGAATGTGAGGAGAGGGTAGTGACGAGTGGCCAATCACAGGAGAAGGTGAGGTGAGGGTAGTGACGAGTGGCCAATCACAGGAGAATGTGGGGAGAAGGTAGTGACGAGTGGCCAATCACAGGAGAAGGGAGAGAGAGGGTAGTGACGAGTGGCCAATCAGAGGAGAAGGGGGTGAGAGGGTAGTGACGAGTGGCCAATCAGAGGAGAAGGGGGGAGAGAGAGGGTAGTGACGAGTTTCCAATCACAGGAGCAGGTGGAGAGAGGGTAGTGACGAGTAGCCAAGAGAGAGAGAGAGAGGGGTTTAATAAGAGGAACGAAGAGGCGGTCACAAGAGAGAAAAGTGGAAAGGGACGAATTGTTAATCACGGGAGAGGAAAAGGGCCGCACGACCGACTGCCCACTCTCAGGAAAGGGAAACGCCAAGTGGTCTATTATACGGTTATAGAGAGGGACGAGTGGCCAATCACAGGAATATAGAGGGACGAGTGGCCAATCACAGGAATATAGAGGGACGAGTGGCCAATCACAGGAATATAGAGGGACGAGTGGCCAATCACAGGAATATAGAGGGGCGAGTGGCCAAACACAGGAATATAGAGGGACGAGTGGCCAATCACAGGAATATAGAGGGACGAGTGGCCAATCACAAGGGATAGAAGGACGAGTGGCCAATCACAGGGATATAGAGAGGGACGAGTGGGCCAATCACAGGGATATAGAGAGGGACGAGTGGCCAATCACAGGGATATAGAGAGGGACGAGTGGCCAGTCACATGAATATAGAGAGGGACGAGTGACCAATCACAGGGATATAGAGAGGGACGAGTGGCCAATCACAGGAATATAGAGAGGGACGAGTGGCCAATCACAGGGATATAGAGAGGGACGAGTGGTCAATCACAGGGATATAGAGAGGGGCGAGTGGCCAATCACAGGGATATAGAGAGGGACGAGTGGCCAATCACAGGGATATAGAGAGGGACGAGTGGTCAATCACAGGGATATAGAGAGGGACGAGTGGCCAATCACATAGATATAGAGGGGGACGAGTGGCCAGTCACAGGGATATAGAGAGGGACGAGTGGTCAATCACAGGGATATAGAGAGGGACGAGTGGCCAATCACAGGCATATAGAGAGGGACGAGTGATCAATCACAGGGATATAGAGAGGGACGAGTGGCCAATCACATAGATATAGAGGGGGACGAGTGGCCAGTCACAGGGATATAGAGAGGGACGAGTGGGCCAATCACAGGAGAGAGGAAGAAAGAGGGGAGGGATGCGTGACCATTGGTTGGTGAACGCGGAAGAGGGGAGATACGAGCAACCAATCAAAAGTCAGGGAGTGTGAAAGGATGACCGACCAGCCACAGGAGAGAGAGAGGAAGAGGTGATTGGCTATTCATAGAACAGGGAGGAGGAGGAGGAGAGAGAGAGAGAGAGAAAGAGAGAGAGAGAGAGAGAGAGAGAGAGAGAGAGAG